CAAATACATAGTAAGCATATACATCTAATTATGTGTATCTAAATATGGAATATACAAAAAGAAGAAGCATATACATCTAATTATGTGTATTTAAATTTCATACATTATATCCAAAAACATGTATCTCGAATACATAATAAGCATATACATTTAATTATGTGTATCTAAATATGAAATGTAGCTGAAACACATGAATTGAGGAACAAATCACGACTGTAGAATATCTGTCATATCATTAATATCATCGTGTTGTTAAAAATCATGTATCCGAAATTTAATGGTGGATACATATACATGGTCAGACACCCCATTACTAAAAACACAACTCAGATCTTAATTAAGATTACTACTTATTGGATACACATGTTTCAAGGGCTATATCAAAGTAATATTGGTACTACCAAATCCATGTCACGGTAACCAAAGAAAGCCTTAGAAGAACACCAACAAACAAAAACTCTCTACAATACTCCCTTTGATCCTTTTGCGTTGTGGTATAACATAATCAAAACTAAGATCCATTTCTTCCGGAGACAAACAATCAAGACACACTCTGAATTAAAGTTTTCTCTGTAGTAGTTACTTTGATTTGATCTAGTTATAAATGAACAATACAAAATAATATTTGAGTTCAGGACAATTTGTCGGTCATGGTGATGATATCTTGAGAAGAAGAGAGTAGATTAGCTATTGTTGGAATGAAATTGTACAATGAAATTCTTGAATCATAAAGGAGGAGACATAATTGAGTGATAAATATGAGAGGGGAGAATTAAGAGATAGTGGTTGATTTGAAGTGAAAGAGTTAATTAAGCAAATAATTAATCAATCCTAGTTTTAAGATATGTGGGTATCTAATAATCTAATTGTATCTTCAAATAATATAATAATATATGGTATAAACTATTAAAAGTGGTAATATATGTAATTGTTTGAAAGTAAAGATAATATTAGTATATATAGTAATAGTGTATGTCTAATAAGGTAGTTTATCCTATATATATATATACACGTACGTACCTTGAAGGCCTAAGTGAAGTAATTTGAGATAGCCACCAGGTTGTAGAAGTTCACCAACCATTCTATCTGGTTCACTCAAGTCCCTCTCTGAACTCGCCGCCCATCCTGTAAATTGTATCACATAAACATTACATATATTCCGTCTGTTTCAAAAGAACGATCACAAGATTACATAACATTTTGGTACATTTGAATAAATTTTAGTTTAGGACTATAAGATTGAAAAATCTTTTTTATTTTTTGAAACTGAAAGAGTAATTTACATTACCGGAAAAGAATAATTATTTATGTTACTAAATATTACTATGAATAAATATTTTTTGAGATAAATTGATTTTTGTTAACCTATATATTTTTAGTTATAATAATTATCTGGTAACATGCAGCAGCCACTCAGGTCCTTTAAGCTAAATGCAGCCTTATGTTTAATAAATTGTTCTAAGCGTGGTAATCACAATTTTTAAGTCGTATTTTTATGCGTAAATAATTTTCACCATCATCACCACTAACTACCTCTCTTTCATTATCATCGCCAACTAGTACTGGCCACCATCAGTAACCACTTTGCCATCACAACCACCATTATTACCAATAATATATCAATATTGACAATCGCTATCACACTTAGGTACTAATACAAATAATATGACTCACTAAGTAAATACATATAAATATTAATTTTAAAACCAATTGAAAAATATATATACCAAAAATATAAAAAATCACATGAGAAGATTACAAAAATAAATGAAAATGGTAGGTACCTTGGCAAGAGTGCAGGCCAAAGCTGAACCAGCAACGCCAGCACCGACAATGATAACATCCGTATTTTTTCATCATCATTTAAACATTCATTAATTACTAATCGTTAAAGAATGACAAAAGTCTCACATCGGTGGTTAATGAGATGGTGGACTCCTTATAAGGCTTGGGCAATCCTCCTCCCTTTGAGCTAGCTTTTGGGGTGTGAGTTAGGCCTAAGACCTAATTTAACATGGTATCAGAGCAGGGCCTGTCTCACCCGATGTTGGGGCCCCCAAAATCAAAATTGTCCACTGGGGTGTTAAAGAATGACAAAAGTCCCACATCGGTGGTTAATGAGATGGGTGGACTCCTTATAAGACTTGGGCAATCCTCCTCCCTTTGAGCTAACTTTTGGGGTGTAAGTTAGGCCTAAAACCTAATTTAACACTAATCCTACATTATTTGAGCCTAATTTGTTGCTCTTCTTTGTAATTATTTTCCTAATTCTGAGATGATTATTATACAGTAAAAATATAAGTGCAAGAAACAAAACGATTAAAGTGGACAACTATAAATATCAATAATCTCTATCTTTCTTAATTCTTCCATCCAGCTGATTAAACTCCGATCACTAGAATTAATTAATTTTTTTTTTATATTTATAATAGAGAGAAGTGGCAATATTTGCTTAATGTTTACTTCGTATTGACGAGTTTGATTGTGGATTTATATTCCAACTAAGAAAATGCCCCCTTTTATAGAGAAAAAGGAACGTCCGTTGATCGATATATCGGACTTTTCCAATCATAGTTGTTCACTATTAATTCGACACATTCTTTAAGAAATAGAGTAATAAATAGTAGAGGTAATATTATTATATTATCCTTTGATTTTATTAAATTTAATACTTTAAAAAATATCCTTATTAGTTTGGTAAAAAATATCATTATTGTTACTAAATAGGTTTTTAAGCATATTTTATTTTAAGCGACTTACATAGAATATTTTTAATAAAAAGTTGGCTTACCTAGGGTGTGTTTGGTATGGAGGAAAAACATTTTATGGAAAATATTTTCCAATTTTTCGATATTTGGTTGACTTTAAATGCTTGAAAAATGTTTTCCAAATCAACTCATATTTCTCAAATTTAAGAAAAATGACTTTCCTTTCAAAATTAAGTAAAACATTTTTCAAAACTCTACTTCAACCTTTAATTTTTTTTCTTACCCTACCCATACCCGTATCCGACCCTCCCCATAAAAAAAATAAAATTTATTTTAAAATTTCAAATATATTTATATCTCTATCACCAAACCACCTCCCTCAAACAAAAAAATAAAAATTATTTGAAAAATATTTCAAATTTTAAGATTCTTTTTTACCTCACCAAAGCCCTACCACTCCCCCCCCCCCCCTCCCCACAACCCCCAAAAAAAAAAAATTATTTTTGGAAAATATTTCAAATTTAAAAAAATTTCATTTTTACGCCACCCTTACTCTGTTCCTCCGGCCACCCCCACCCAGGCCATTCCCATCAAGAAAAATATGTTTTTGGGAAATATTTCAAATTTAAAATTTTTTCATTTATTATGCCACCTTCCCTACCCCACCCCCCTCGCGCCACACCCACCCCATCAATTTTTTTTTTAAGAAAAAGTTATTTTTGGGAAATATTTATAATTTAATTTTTTTTTTCATTTTTTACTCCAACAACCTCCCCTCACCCTGCGACCCCGTCAATTTTTTTAGAAAAAAAAATTGTTTTTGAAAAAAAAATTCCTGATCAAGTCCTGGGTCGAAAGTCTGGGTCAGTTCCAAGATCAAATCTCCGCGCGCGCGCCGGGTCAAATTTTGGAATGGTCATTGAAGTCTTGTCCTAGTTTGGGTGTCGGGGTCGAGTCCTAGATCAATTATCTGAGTTGAATCAGAAATTATTTTCCTAAAACATATTTTTTAGTCTTAATAAAAAATAAAAAATATTTTCTGAAAATATTTTTCATTCACCAACCAAACATTAGAAATTATTTTCTACTTACCAACCAAATATGAAAAAATAAGTTAGAAATTCACTTATTTTTCAAGAAAACATTTTCTAGGAAAACATTTTTCATGGAAACATTTTCCTTCATACCAAACACACCCCTAATTTCTTGCTCTTCTTTATAATTATCTTCCTAATTCTGAGATGATTATTATACAACAAAAATATCAGTGCAAAAAACGAAACGATTAAAGTGGACAACAGATATTCATCAGTCATCTTCAACTTTCTTAATTCTTCCTTCTATCTGATTAAACTTGGATCACCATAATTAATTAATAGAGAAGTGGGAATTTGTTTAGTGTTTATTTCGTATTGACGAGTTTGATTGTGGATTTATATTCCAATTAAGAAAATGACTCCTCTTATAGAGAAAAAGGTTCTTCAGTTGATCGATATACGCAAGTGTATGGACTTTTAGGGTGTGTTAAATAGGAAAGGAAAATGTTCAAGAAAATAAGTGATTTCTTTTCTTTTTTAAAATTTTCCGATACTTAAGAAAAAATATAATCATATAAAGCATTATTTGTACATAATCTAGATAAATACTACAGAAAAGGACTAAAAATACCATTGAACAACTGCATTCACCGTCAACCAAACAATTTTTAAAGAAAAATGGCCAAACGGCTGTTTGACACCAGCAGTTCAGAAAATTGTTTGTCCGTGGATTTCAAGCACATTGTCCCTTTTAATATATTTGCTTTAAGAAGTGGCCATTTTGGCTCTGAACTCAAATGCATTCGAGAAAACAACTGTTACACCTGCACTGAATTTGTAAATTCTGAGCTGCAAACTAAAAGCATTAGACCATCAAAACATATTTGTTGGCTGTTGCAGTTTGAGAATTACAAACTAATCCAAGCCTGCTGATACCTTGTCAATCTATCTTCCTCTTATTTTGAGTAAAGGACAGCCAAAGTACAAACCAAAATCCAAAGCCCATCACTGGTATTCATTTATTTCTTTGACATGAACAATGCCCAGGTAAAGCTGAAAACATACATCAGTGTTGAAAAGGAAGACAATTTGAGCTAGCTGAGCACACCATAGTTATAGACACTAGTAAGATCCGCTCAAACGTGACTAAACTAGCAGAGACAAGCGAGTTGGGGTCAAATCAACCGGTTGGCAAGCCATGCTTACAAGATGCAATAAACGAGTTATAGTGACCTTGTTTTTTGAAGAAGCTTACATTGATTTTTGTTGAAGTGCACATGAGAAATGAAAGGTAATCTTCACAGGAGAAATGTGCAAACTATACAAAAGTACACAACAAATGGAACTTCCATGAAGCAGGAGCAAGAGTTGTGACGTTTAACATCTGAATGAACCTATGAATCAACAAGGACCGGATAAGTTATCATATACCGCTAAGGGAATACTATCTATCTTTGACGTTTGAGTCTTTTCTCCTCTCTTCTCCTCCTTTTATCCTCCTTGTCCTTGGACTTCTTTTTTGATCTATGTTTCCTACAATGGTCATGGTGCTTACTGGATTTAGCCTTCTTTGGGGCCTTTCTCTTATCATCTGACAGAGATTCATTTTCTGAAGAACCAGGGGAATTCAGCCAGATGGGCTTCTCTGGCCCAACGACGACATGATACCCGCTACCTTTGCTTAGTTTCATCTCAGGACTTGCTGACTCTTTTTCTCTGGGATCTGGACTAGAAGGAAGGTAAGGACCAGCTTCATCCATCCGTGACCCAACAGTCCCCCTGCCTCGCTTGACCCTGCCAACAACAAAATGTTCAATTTGTTATGTGAGGCAAATTGAGGTTTTGACACCCTAAAGACAAGTGAAAGTATAAGACTTAATGCATGCAGCCACAAAAAGACGTGGTCTGATTTCCTTCTTCATTTTCTTTTGTCATTGCGCGAATAGATGTTTTGAAAGAAAGACTGACCTTGAATGTAGAAATTCCTCAATTTCAGCATCTCTCAATCCTTCATCTTCACTTGAATGAGAATCTTGTATCTTCCTTTTCTTTGATCCCCTTGTGCCAGAATCAGTATCATATCTCTCACTTGACCTCCTTTCCGAGACACTAAAATTATGACACTTTGTATCACTGTTCTTATCTGCCGACCTTCCCTTGATCCTGTTTTCAAGCTCCACCTCTTTCTGCCTTAACTTCCACATCTCATTTACTTCAACAGCCCGGTTAGCTGCAATCGGTAAAATTTAAGTCACAAAAAGATGCAAACTAGAGCACTAATATATGAGACCTGTCCATTGTGCCTTATATGAGACTAATTTTACCCTTCAAAGAAACTACACTTTCACATTTTCCAGACTGACAACCATAGTGTTCATGTAGATTCTTCACACATCGAGTCCTACACAACCTACTAAGGCAGCAAAACATCATTCACACGAAACAAAATTGAGGAAAAACAAATAAGCATATGTATGAAATAGTTCTTATATTATCTTGAACACAACTTGAATGTATGTGTGAGGTGCTTATGCAATCACTTGATTTCATAATACTCATGCGAGAGATACCACCTCCTTTTTTTTTAAGATAGGTTAAGGATTTTCTTGAACACAGCGTACACAAAGACTGCCACAAAATTACAAAAAACTCAGTTCCTATACATTACTGTAGGAAGCTGAGAAATTCTAACATATCATCCACTGTGTAAAAATCTTCTAATCTACACCAAAAATCCAAAAAAATATTTTCTCATAATTTGCTTTAAAAATATATTTGATTTCTTTCTTTCCATATCACCAACCCACCAAATGCAAGCTGGAATTGTATCCCAGATCCTCCTCTTATGTTTTCCAAATCCTTTGCCTGTCGAGCATTAACGAAGCTGCCTAATAGCCCTAGACATAACACAACTGATGTGGACCATATTGAAGAATAAATTCCAAACCTCATATGTGAAGCTAAAATGTAAAATTAAATGTTTAGCATCCTCCTCTTGCAGAAGATACTGATACAACAATGCACGTATGCACAAAGTGGAAGAAGTAGTTCTTCCAACAGAAGGCCCTTTACTCTTCTGCATGGTCTTTGACTTGGTTAATTTTTTCCCTTGTTAGTAGGAGGCTTTTGCGTCCTATTTCTTCTTCTATTTCCTTCACTCACTGATACTTTTATAATTAGTCTTATAGTACTCCCAACCTTGGCTTAAAGAATCCAAAATGCAAAGCCACAAGAGATCATACTCTAAGCTTCCATACTTCGTTTTCACTTAAAAATCGTTTGCACCAGTTGGCTATTCTCTAAGCTTTCATATTTGTTTTCACTACACTACACTCTAAAATTGGTGGTAAGTTAAGCTAGTAGAACTTACCACCAAATTTCTGCCTAGAGAAAGTAAAACTAGCTGAATAACTGACACTAACTCCAATTAAGTGCAGCCAGATATTGATTTACTTTGGGTGAAAGTGTTTTTAAAGACGGAAAATGAGAAATAATGGATCAGACCATAACAAAAAGCTAGAACTAGATGGGAAATAAAAGTGATGCTTACCTTGTTGTACTCCAAGAACAGTTGCTGTTAAAAACCGTGAATTTGGTCGCCCCCTGACATTAGGCCGATGAAGATAAGAAAGTGCACCCTCTGACTGTGCTTGCCGCCGCAATTCTGCAGCCTCTTTCAGAAGAATTGTCGCAATTCTATTCTCTGTCTCCAAATCCATATCCAGCACCTATAACATTACACAAGAGGCATGGTTTACGATGCAGAACAGCAACTGGTCAAATAAATGAAATCTTGCAGCAGAGGTAGATCCAGCATATGGGCAGCTCCGACTACCTATAAACCAAATCTAAGAAGATATTTGTAATTACATTAATCATTCAAATTGTGCAGCCATTGCCTTCAAATCCAAGACTTGTCTGTCTGAAGGTGACATATAAAATTAGCCGATCCCATAACCGTAGTGGGAAGGCAATGATGACTTCTAAGTTCTATCAAAGTAAGTTGTTCTGAAATACAACATATACGTTTTAAATATGCAAAACGCCCAGTAAAAACATCTTCTTTCTTCATAGATAAGAATCAACAAATCAATTACGTCCCAGCCCCACGCTAGTTGGGTTTGACTATATGAATCCTTTATATTCATTCCAGAATTCAGGCATAATTTGTCTTTTGATATAAACTAGAGCCATCTTCTATGTGTAGGCAATACGAAAAATTAGTAAATCCATAACTGCAAGAGATTCCACAATGGAGCCATACAGTACAACACAAGTCAGGCATAGAGATACATAGTTTGCGGTAAAACCAACCCATTACAAAAGATAAGATGGAATTCATAAAATACTTGAAATTTGAGACTTTGATCAACCAAGGGCGGCTCAACCCTAAAGCAGTGGGTTTAGGCCCTCAAAAATCCCAAATCCCCGAAAGAACCAAAAAGCCCTAAATTCAGTTCTAATAACGAACACACACACACATATATATACATCGGAAGACGCCAAATCGCACAGAAAAGAAATAAATTTGATTAAACGAAGAAACACAAGTCGAGATCAAAAGCAGAGCAAGAACCGACAGATAAGAGTAAACCCTAAAGATGAAGGAGATAGATACATACATACCTGGGAAGAGAGAACAAGAGACAACCTGCGCTTGGAAGGACCAAATCTGATGTAAAATCTTGATTCCTATACGAGAAACTCCCTGTGAAGCAATGGCGAAAAGAACGCCAAGGACCAAAATACCCTTCCTAAGTTAGAATATACATAATTACTCTATGTATTTATCGTTATTTAATATTAATAAGTCTTTTGAAAACAACAAAATTATTGTATGGGATTCCAATTCTAAATTTAGGAAAATAATAATTAGGAAACTTTTAAACTAAAAAAGCATATAAAAATACTTCCAAAACTAACTACTAACAAAAATAAGGAAAAAAGTGATCAAAATTTAGACAAAATACGCGCCTATTGAATAAGGTAAAAGTGACATTTATTAGCATCATCAAATGAAATCCACTCCTATTTCTCTTGGTTTGGGCAAGAAGTTCAACACTTTGGGCTCTCTTTTAGGGTTTCATGTAGCCCAATTTTGTTTCCTTGGATTTTGGATTTGAATCATGAAATGTGTGTACATTTATTCACTTTTTGCTTTTATTTCTGGGTTCATTTTTTTTACAATAAGCATTTTTTTAAAATTATTTTTCATGAAATTCATCAACTTTAACGAAGGTATTCCACCAAGAATGCAATCAACTTATCTCCTTCATTTTGCTTATAATATTTGTTAAATATTTATTTTATATTAAGTTTCAAAAAAAAATATTTATTTTATATTTAATGAGATAATTTATCACCATACAAATATGTATAACTTATTTTAGATTAAAATTTTAAAATCAGGTAATTAACACTATTTTTGAAAATAAATTTATGAACAAATATTGAACCGTGCACCACACGGATTTTTCATAACTAACACTCCCCTCCGTACCTATTTAGTTGTCATCATTTTAGATTTCACGTCCTTAAAAAAACTAGATAAGTTTACCATTGTTACTCTTCTCTAACGTTCTCTTCAAGTCAAGTTTTCAATTAATAAACATGAATTAATTTATTTTAATTAATTAATTTGACCAATTGACATGAATGATTTACTTAATTTTTTAGGCATATTTTTCAGGCTAATAACTCTTAAAGGTAAATTAGAAAGAATAGTACTCCCTCTGTTTCAATTTATGTGACACATTTCGTTTTTCGAGAGTCAAATAATTTAAGTTTGACCGAGGATTTGCTCATGAAATCTTCAAATTTTTTAAAATAAAATTTATATATTTGTAAACTACATAAAAAGTACTATAAGCCTCAATAATTGATAATTTAAAATATTTAAAAGATATAGGAAAAAATTACGATCAAAGATAAACTTGTTTGAATCTCGAAATCCGAAATGTGTCACATAAATTGAAACAGAGGAAGTATTATTTATGCATTAATTTTATAAAATAACAAATATTAAAAAACATCTATTCTTAATAAGGATTACATGAAGTAGCGCATGCATAAACTTAACTTAAACGCCAACTTTAATTAGATTCATGTATCGGACGAAGTTACAAAAGTGGCCCTGGATGTGGTTGAAATGACTAAACTGCCATTGTAACGGCTACTTACAAACATGTCAGTTCAGTTATTTAAAACTCAATCCGCCTTTCTCGCTTGTCATAGAAAAAACACCAACAAAACCCACAGTGTTTCTTGCCTTTCTCTTTTTTTCTTCTCTCACAAATCACTGTGTTGACGCTCCAATTAATGGCAGAAGATAAGCATCAGCCGGAAATCGAGCCCGAGATGGACGTAGACGGAGCAGGAGAAGACGAAGAGGCAGATGATGAAGTTTTTTACGAGAGAATTGAAGCCCCAAAGTTCGTAGATTTCTCAACTCCCGACCACTACCGCCCTGATGATCGTTACTGGTTCTGTCTCCGTGTTGGTATGTAAAACTTTTTAAGAAGTTTTGTCTATAAAATCTACTTTAATTGAACTCTTTCCTCTCTCTGTTTACTTTATTTTGTGCATTTAATGATTGACTGAGTTCTCTTAACTAAGAGCTCCAATTGAGCTTTTCAGAATTTCTTTAGGTATCAGTAGATCTGATTCTTGAATCTTGTTCAAGTTTTGAGTGCGATTGGCAATTTGATATGAATTATTGTACTCTTCTGTCTTAAGATGAATTTAACCTAGGTCTAGTTTTACCTACGTCCCCAAACCCCACTTGTGGAATTATATTGGGTCTGTTGTTCTTGTTGTAGTTTTACCTTTGATTTTCGTAATTAGGAATTTGTGATGCTTTAACTAGTCAAGATTGTTCAAAGATGTGTATGAGATTGGTAGTTAGCTGCTTTTACACATTATTGTACAAGATAGTGGACCACAAGTCCACACCAACAGACAAAGAATATGTTATTTCAACTTTAGAAAAGCCTAATTTGAGGGGCATTGGGGTGTGAGAGGAGGGGAACGGGGGGTTGTGAGTTGATGATTTCTGTAATTTATTAGTTGTTGAGCGGAAAGATTCAAGTTATAAATTTCTTGAACTTTTTAGTTGTTGGAACTCCAAAAGTGTATGACTTCTGTTCTGTTTTCAGGCTGCGACCAGAAACATGAAGAAGAAATGGACTCAGAGAAAATCTACAAGGATTTCGTCCTCCGAGTAAGTTCCTTGATTGCAATTTTTCCTTCTGGATATAACGACTAACCAGAGCTTAAATTTAACAGTGATATGAACAATAAGGATTCATGTAGCCAGCAACAAATTTGCTTGAGATTGAGGCGTAGTAGTACTAGTTGTTGTATATGTAATGACTGATGGCCTTATTGATATTGTACTGAAATTCTTCGTTTTTAATGTTGTTTTCTTTGTAATCAGGTAATGGCTGCTAGAAGCCCCAATGTTAGACTTCAGAAAGCACTAAGCAGACATGCTGCAGGGTATAGTAGATCAAATACTAATAAAGTTTATGTTTATCTCATTGTTTCACTACTTGACAGTTGACATCAATTTTATTTTATTTTTCAGCAAGAACTTAAAGTGCCCACTTACAGTGCCAGCAAAATCTTCCAAGTCTAGACTGTCAAAGTTAGCTGCTGTTTCAACCATTTCTCGTAAATTGATTGAAGACAAAGAGAAGACCAGTTCTCATAAATTGATTGAAGATAAAGAGAAGGCTGGTCATCCATCAAAGTCAACTGCCACTCCAAAAATAAGAGGAAGACAAGTTGCTGCCAAGTATCTAACAACCCCAAGGAACAAAAAATGCCTTCCAAACCCAAATTCCTTTCATAGTGTGCAAAATCCAAAGCCTGCAGCCCTTGATGTTCCAAAGAATAGGATCATAGCTAAGGCTTTGGTTTTCCACCACTCCCCGAAGAAAGCCATCAGTTTAAAGAAATCAGTGGAACTGCGAATTCCCTTAACCAAATTATGTCAAGGAATCAAGAAGCTAGAGATAACAGATCAAAAGAAGCGCCTACTGAAGTACTCCGGGAAGTCAAAGGATACAAAACCTAATTGCAGAGATGCTATGATGAACAGAAATCCTCAGAAGGACAAAATCAAGACCCCCAAGAATACCGGAAAGTCTCAAACTCGAGTACCAAGGGAATCCAGACTTTTACACTCAACTAACATTCAGAACCAAGCTAAATTGGGTAAGCACCACTCCAAAAACATGGCAGAAAATGAATGCAGCAAGACAGAAGTTGATTTAGCGTTGAGAGACGGTAACCAAGAGATTGCTACTGCTTTAGACAACCATAAAAATTCTGCACAGCCAGAAGCTAATGTCTGCTCAGCTTTACATTCTACCAAAAATATGGATGTGACAGAAGAATTGAAAAGTGAAGCTGATCAGAAAGATTTGGTGGGAAATGATCTCCCACAAAGTCAACGACCAACTGGAGAGGATCATAATGGTACTGAATTGAATACTATGGACCATTCCATTTGTTTCCAGACTTCAGAAGGGGCAGGACATCACCACAGTGAGGGAGTGGACAATGATGACAAAGAGAACGTTTCCATCCCCGATGAGAACAGGTCTAGAATCAGCTTGCTTTTCTTGACATGTTTTAATCCAAAACTTCTTCAAGCTATCTTTTTTACACAACTAGTTGTCACATTGGTGTTTATGTGCATATAATTTGATTGCAGAAGTTTAAACCAGGCTGGACAAAAAGTTCTTGGTGTGCAGAAGATACAAAAAATCGTCAAGAAGGTATTTCTTTCTTCTTTTTCCTCTTTTAGCTTCAGCCTTCAAATGAGTGTTGACCACTATGTAATATGATTAATGTGTACAGAATGCTCAACCAGCAGCCAAGAATCTTAAGGAAAGTTTGCTTTCCACAAACGCTGGAGTTTCAGGGATGAAGCCCAAGAAGCCAAAGCCTACAAATCCTAAACCTTTCAGGCTAAGAACTGATGTAGGCAATTATATCCTTTATTTTACTTGATTTAATAGTAAGTATCAAATGCTTATGACTGAGCAATGGATTTTCAGGAAAGGGGAATTCTTAGGGAAGCTGACTTACAAAGGAAAAAACAGGTGAGTGATATTCAAGCAATCTTTTCATTAACTAGGGGGAACCATTTCCTGTTGGAAATATGTCACCGTGGTAATTAAATCTTCTCTTGAATATGTTGCTTGTGGTATTTAGGGTAATGTAGAAGATCCTGACAACGAAAACAGATGCACCAAAGACAATCCTGAAGGCAATGAGAAAGATTCAAAGGGCTTGCAAAATGATTTATCCGTAAGTGTCGTGTATCTTGAGATTTTCTTTAATTTGTTAGTATGTTTCATTTTTTACCAGAATCACTTGGCTAGGAAAGTTAGGAAGATTTTAAACCATGTCATATCTGATAATTTGCAGAATGAGAGTGGGATAAAAAGCAGTAAAACTTCAGACGGGAAAGTGAGATTGAGGAAATCCAGTATAACACCAGAGAGATCTAATGCTACACAATTAAAGACAGCCAATTTAAGAAATGCTAAATCTCCTATGGTATCATGTTTGAGACAAGGTCAGCAACTCACTGTAATACAAGAAGCATCAGCTGACAATTCCAAAGCTAAGGCTTTGACGCCTTCTAGAATGTTATCTCATGGAAGAAGGCCTCTGACAATTCCAAAGGAGCCACACTTCCACAGCACTCACCGGCCCAAAAGTTGCACAAGAAACTTAGTGGAACAAGTGCCCATGTAAAAGGATTTAATTAATTCTTGAGTTGTGTGTGTATGTACTTCAAATGATTCATTTGAGTAGAACATTAAGTTTTGAGTTATGTATGCACAAAAGTTACAGAAGAAACTAGCATACCCTTGTTATAACACCCTTGTAATATTCAAAGTTAATTCAATTAATTCTTGAGTTGTGAATGTACTTCAGATGACTCATTTGTGTTTACAGAAGGGACTTCAACGGAGGTAACTCAGGTTGTTCCTGGTAATCAATTCTCCATCAAAGTTTCAATACCAAAAAGGCTGCTTTGAGGAGCTGGTGATATTGCTTTTTCTTGCATGTCGAATAGCCACCAATTTTCACCTATTTGCTGAGTAAAATATATGCAGTTGCTCCTGCATCCTATCTTGTTGGCATTAATCCACATACAACATTCCTCTTCGACAAACAATGTTCTACCCTAGGCTTTCCATCTTAACCCACAACAGTTTTGGAATATCTTGCCTGTAAATTTCAACATCATCTACTTTCTTAATGGATCTTTTGGAGATTAAGAAAATCAATAAGATTTCCCCTTCTGATTCAACTAAAACAGCCCTGCTTGAGCTGATCTTAGTGACACTAAGGCTAGAATCAATGTCTTCAATAACTACAATGGTTCCCTGCAAACTCAATGCATAGAATTTCCCATTAATGCCAATGGCATTTACGAACTGAAAATGTTCACCTGAGTCAAAAGGATCAGTGACATTACAGCCTTGTTTTTTCCACACATTCTTTTCCGAGTCCCATTTTACAGAACACAAAAGCTGGGGAAGAATCTCCTGTTAGCACCATAATTATACAGGTTTCCCATGACCTTTGAGATCCATGGGATGAAATGAAGATAAAGTTGCAAACTTGAATGGAACGCGAGTATCCCAAGTTGGAAGTTTACAGTAAGTCCCTCTGTAGGATTTCCACAAAAAGATATCATCTGGATAGCGTCCAACTGCTATTAGTTGACCATGGGAATGACCCTTGAAATATATCCAAGGGTCCTTCCATGTTCTCCATCTTCTACCATAAGGCCAGTAATCTCCCATATAAAACCAGATATGGAAGCAGTGAGAATGATTCGTGTTTTGTTGAATTTCAGTGAGTTGTGGCCATAGGGACTTCCCTCTTGGCCTACAACTTTTTGACTTTGCTGATCTCCATGACTTGGTGACACCACTAAAACTGATGTTTTCCATTAGACTGTGTTCATTTGAGATTAAGCTGGTGAGTTCTTTGGGAAGATTTGCCCATGGCCTTGGGCTAGTGTTGGTTTCTTTCTTTGATGAAATTTGATTCTTTTCCTTCTTAACTTTTTGAACCATGTTATTTTTTTTTTGCAAAACGAGAGCTCGAGAAGGAAATGGTATGGGAATGTGGCTTGAGGCTGAGGCTTAAAAGTGACCAAGATCAGATGTGGCCACCAAGTAAACATAGCCTCCAAGGTAGTGGATCTCTTGGAGAACAAGGTTAGTGGTAGATTCTTTCAATAAATAGCTGAGTTGACTATTTAGATGCCTTATTATGTTGGAAGGAATGGACACTCAACCTATAAAAAAGAATTCCTTCAAATCACAATTGTGTATGGAGAAAGGATACCTATTGATTACTGCTTTCTGAATAGTTCCAAAGGAGGCTATGGTTATTGGACTACTCCCCCATCCGATCGCAAAATATCATTTTTATTTCCTTATTCCAGTTATGGTTGGTGCTGTTGTTGTTTCCCAACTTTTGTGGTTCATCAGTTAGGACAAAACCAAAAATGGATGAAACAAGAATGCAATCAAAATGGCCTTATTGATCTGAATGATCCTAAGGGGCAACTGATACAATTCTGTAATGCCATTATCTTTGACAGGAAGTTTTATGCACTAAGTTTGCAGGGGACCCTTGCACTAATAGAAGAGAGTGATGAATCTCAGTTTCAAGTCACGCGATTAAGTAGAAAACAAGCCATTCCTTCAAACTACTCAAAGCGGTTTATTGAGTACTTTCTTGAGTCTAATGGGGAAATCTTGCTCATTTTCTTGATCTCAGAAAGATCAAACGGGATAGTGGACAAAGTGGAAGTGTTCAAGCTGCAGATTGAAGATTTGTCATGGTTAAAGCTGGACAACCTTGGAGATAGAACGTTATTTGTGGGGATTAATTGTTGTATGTCAGTGCCTGCAAGTCAAGTTGGCTGCAGAAACAACTGTGTCTATTTTACTCATCATTCCATTGATGGTTGGAGACTGTATGATATGAGAAGTGGTTACATTACCCCTTGTTATGATGATGCTGGTTCCGAGATTAAAAACCCAACTTGGGAGGAGCCAATAACTGGAAAATCATCACGACGATGAAACACGTTTATGATTCAGTATCTCATGTATGTTGTATTATCATTCTAACATATCGTGTGAAATTGGACATAAAGTATAACTTGTTGAAACAACTCTTATATTGAGAAGATCTGCTTGATACCATTGTTGGTTTTTTTAAAAGATGATGCAACAAAAAAAGCTCAATTTAAATAGCCAACTTAATTTTTTTTTTACATGATTCAAAATTCAATAAACTACAATATCTCAACATAATAAAAATTTAAAATTCAAAACATCCTAAACCTGAGTAAATGAAATATTAGCAATTTGATAACAATATTTCAGTCAAGTTATTCATCAGGCAATAAACCCAGCCTTGGTCTGTGCTGCTAGACTTCTATGCTTGTTCCACAACTTACACTCTGTTTGGATCATTGTTCCCTTGTTCAGCACAGAACTAGTTATCCTCTTTATGCAATCCCTTCTTTTTACTTCAGGTACAAAAACTCGAAAAAACACCTCCTCAAATTCAGGTTAGTGCAGTTCAAAATCATCACTACATTCCCTCGTTGTTGCTGGTTCAAAGCGAAAAATATCATGGAGATGTTCGTTTTTTATCATGTGATTTGTGAAACCGTAGCCTAAAAATCTTCTTATGTAAGTTACCTGTTTCAACTGTGACCAGGTTCTAATGGTGATTCTTGTTCTGCCTAAATTGAGAGTGCTTGTCTTATCGTAATCATCCTCGAGAACTTTTGAAGCATCATGCTTGGTGCCATTACATACTCTCTTTATATGTCATCTTTCATAGCCTTCGTCCAGAACTTGACCTAGTTGAGCAGGAAGATCAATCAACCCATGAAATCAATCTTTTAGATAAAGGTAGATTCTAAAATTGCTTTGGATGTTTTCATGCCAGGATCTCAATTTCGTAGAAAACTAAAACAAGTAGGAAGAATTAAAGATCAATACAATCTACCAGACGATTATGTTTAGTGTTGATTTTGAAGAAACAGGGCATAAGCTGTTGAAGATCAAACTGGAACCTGGTAATGAGATTGGAGTATCGCAGCGGAGAGGACTAATCTCCGTTACTACAGACATTTGGGCAGCCGTTTTGCATGATCAACAAAGTTTACCAGGAGAATTTTGGTTATATGCTGTGTGCAGCATTACTCCATGATCCACCGCCTTGAAACTACTAAGGTGCGTAATGTAGCTATGTTTGTTGAGGCATATTTTTGACCTTTTTCCTTACTTTTAATTTCAAGCTAGTAAATCACATCACAAGCCCCAGCTTTCTACGAAATGCACAGCCCTTGCCCCGACTTAAGTTGTTGAGCGAGAATCCTAGTGGCTTGAGTTGATGCTCACTAGATAATCTTGTGGTGCCAATCTTTAACTGCACCTTCAACTAATTCAAAAAGGGAAAAAGGACAAATATATCCCGAACTATCATAAATGGTATACAGATACCCTTCGTCTTAATTTTGAGACATTGGTGCCTATGCCGTCCAAAAATTAGAGCATATATACCCTTTATACTAACGGACATACACGTGTCATAATCTTATCCACTGATCCGACATTTATTAAAGATCGGATCGATGGATAAGATTGCGTCACGTGTCCCTATTTAGTCTTCCGTTAGAGTGAAGGGCATATATGCTCTAGTTTTTGGACGGCAGGGGCACCAATGTCCCAAAAGTATGACGGAGGATATCTGCATACCATTTACGATAGTTCGAGAATATATTTGTCCTTTTTCCCATTAAAAAATGCACACATTTTCAAGTAGACCCGGAGAACATAATGATTTTCCTTAGTAACAATTTTTTTATCCACCCTGATAAATCTTTGTTCGTTTTACAAAGTAAACACAAATTAGATCTCTGCAACACCTGAAATTGGATCAGTACCCTCATACAACATTCTTCACATCCTGAGGAATATGCACTTCCATTGTTGTTTATAATGCAATGCCAATATATTAGGATCCAATGGAACATGAAACAATAATCGTGGTGGTTGCATATTGTTGGAGGGTGAGGGGGTTAGTCAAACATCTAAATGGTCAATTCTACTCAACTATTTAATTTAGTCACAAAACTTGTGTCCCAAGAGGTCAACTACCTTGGAGGCTACGGTTTCTGGTGCTTCTTTTAATATTTAAAAAAAGACAGCAGGAACATGGAGGCAAGCTAATATAAAAAGGTGCATATTAGAAGTTTCAGAATAGTCCTCTCTTCATCTATTCTCTAAAAATGAGTCGTCAAAAAAAGAAGGAGAAGCTTGTCAAACCTCAAGAAAAGACTAAAAGCTTCCTAGAGCCATGGCCAAATCTCCCTCAACAGCTCCTCGACTTTATGGGAAGGCAACATCCTGATGAAACCAATCGTCTTATGCAAAACATCAGCTTCCTTGGTGTTACTAAATCATGGAGATCAGTACCTAAGCAATGTAGTACCAAAAATGCACAATTACCCTGGCTTGAAATTTCCGACAAAGATCATTTCTTCCAGTCCAAGACTCAAGAGCATACCCTCAACATCCCATTTCGACTAGGTGAATATTGGTGGTGTGGTAGAAGTACATCATGGGAAAATTCTTGGACACATTTTCATGGATGTTCACACGGGTTGATTGTTGCTGGAGGGAAGGATCCTGCAATGTACTGTCTCTTGATTCCTACTTCAAGATTCACTTATCGGAGTATTCCCACTTGGGATCCCACAATTCCATTCAAGTTTGCAACTCTGTCTTCAAATCCTTATAACAATAACAAGGCCTGTTTTCTGATGGTGTTAACAGGATGTTCCACTCCAGCCTTTGTGGTTTCTCATCTTGGATACCAAAATAAATGGATGAAAGAAGAGAACACCTTGCTTGACCCTAACTGCTCAAAAAGGAAACTAATGCAATTTACTAATGCCATCGGCTTTGAAGGTAAGTTCTATGCATTAAGTTTACAAGGTACTTTAGCTGTAATCGAAGAAATTGAATCCAGGTTTCAAATCACTAAATTAAGCAGAAGCCGGGCTGTTCCATCAGTTTTTCCAAAACACTTCACAGAGTATTTACTTGAATCCAATGGAGAGATCTTGTTGATTTTCTTGATATTTGAACAATCGATTAGGAAGGTGGATAAAGTGGAAGTGTTCAAGCTACAGATGGATGATCTATCATGGTTAAAATTGGACAAGCTTGGAAATAGAACATTGTTTGCAGGCACTAATTATTGTATGTTCGTTAATGCAAGTCAATTGGGCTGCAGAAGCAACTGTGTCTATTTCACTGAGCGCGCTACTAATACTTGGCGGTTTTATAAAATGGGAAGTGATACTATTTCTGCCTGTTTTGATGATTATGGTTCTCAAACAATAAGTCCAGTATGGGAAGAGCCAATAGTTGAAAACAAATTTCTTGTAAGATGAAAAAGGAAAGTGTTATATCCAGTTTTAATTAACTTGTGTGTGTTGTATTACCAATAATATAAATAGAACAGCATTCAAGGAACAACTTGAAGCTCTTCATCTGCCATTGTAATTTGTCATAATTGGAATGTCCGGTTAATTGAACTTTCTTTACCATCTGGAGTAGATGAACGTACTCGGGAAGGAAATGATCTTTACATGAAAATTTAAAAAAAATCACTTTGATGGGGATTGGCTGGATGATATGCAAAATTAAATTATTTTGAACCAGAGAAAAATAAAATTGGTTGTAGGGTAGATCAACTGCTCAGTTTCTATAAGTAATTTGGATGTGAAATACATTACTTGCTAGTTGGATTTATTAATGCAGCTGTGAAATACACTATTTCTTCAAAAGTGTTATATGTACACTAAGCATTCTTTGTGAACTTACAACATAGTTCAATATTCTGCAAAATTCCTCTGCTCTCAACGAGAAAGTTCAACATCATGACTTGCCATTAGTTAGCAAGTCCTTGTTTCCTGCCATCCTCATTCGGTGAATTTACGACTACATTTGTCAACTTGCAAGGCTCGGCTTCTTCTAGCATATGAACTACCATCCTCATGGAAGGTCTTAATGCTGGCGTCCTTGATGTGCAATGAACTGCAATTTTAAGAACCTCAACAGCATCTTCTTTGAACCCCTCGAAAATGTTTGAATCCACCAAATCGATCATGCTAGTTTTGTTTCTTATCTTGCTACAAACCCATTGGACTATGTCACTGTTCTCCCCGTACTCTGCATCCACTGGCTTCTTTCCAGTGACCAATTCCATTAGCACCACCCCGAAGCTATAGACATCACTCTTCTCGGTCACCTTGGTTGTGTAAGCATACTCTGTTGTGTCAAACAATGAAGAAAGAAAAAATTTAGAATTTGCCAAAGTTATATTTAAGTGACAATGAAATGGAAAAGGGAAGAGAAAAATATGTACCAGGAGCAATGTAGCCATGCGTCCCAGCTACAACCTGAGAAGAGTCCTTAGTACCATTAACATGCAAAACTTTGGCTAATCCAAAATCAGCAATTTTTGGCTTCATCTGTTCATCCAACAAGATGTTGCTAGACTTGACATCCCGGTGCATCACGGGGCTGTCATATCCGTGATGCAGATACTCAAGCCCTTGAGCAGCACCTAATGCAATATCATATCTCACCAACCAATCCATCTTGACTTTCTGAGACGTGTGCAATCGGTCCCATAAGCTTCCATTAGTTAAGTATTCATAAACCAGCATATTTGAGTCCTCACTTGTGATGCTACAGTACAATTTGACAACATTGACATGCCTAATGGAACTTAACGTGGTCACCTCAGCATCATACTCCTTTGATCTTCTATTCTCCTTCACCAGTATGGCTGAGCTGTCCTGGTAACTTTTTTGGTCACCAGAATCGGATTTAACAATGTGTTTCACAGCCAACTGTTTTCCACAATTCAAGACTAATCTGTACACATTCCCTGAACCACCTCTACCAATCAAATTTTCTTGCTTCAATGCCTTCAAGACTTGATCTTCACTAAAGCTCAATACATGAAACTGTTTGATATCCCAAGAATC